AATCAGAATTTATAACAGACTTCCAATAGAAATGAAATGTTTAAATGTAGATTAATTTAAACCTTTAAATGATTAATTGACAAAGTTTTTTTTACAATCTTAACCGATTTTATATAAAGACATCAAATATTTGACAATTGTGTAATTAACTTGATTATAATTTGAATTTGTTGAGATTTAAGTTGTATTAAATTTTAACTAATTTGTGATTTTAAGACATTGTACGTTGACTAACACCTATTTATTATATACCGTATTTTACCAATTCATACAATAATAAATGTTTCTGATTTCCAAGAAGCTAATAGGTCATTCGGATTTAGTGAAGACGAAGCTACAGAGTCTTGAACATAGCAGTGCGGTGCGGTGCACGCTCGGATTCGGACGTGCTCCACTGCACAATAAGAATTATAATAATTCGCGACCCGCGCGGCAATAGCCGCTGCACGTAATTGACTATGGGTTCTCAGCAACTCATAGCCAACGAACTGTTGGCGTTTATACAACACGCCATAGATACCATGGACGAAGTTTAGCATCGTGCAGATCTGCAAGTCAAATTTCAAAGAAGAAGAGATTTGCAGTGGCAAAGCGCTGCTTTTCCGGACGTTTGGCAAAGCCGAGCAGATGCCGTCTCGTCGGAGAGATGGAGAAGCGAAGAATCTCCAGGACATCATTACGTTGTTCAAGGAGACCGACCCAGACGACGTGCCTGCATTCGTGGCGAAGGAGCTGCATAAGCTGCCCCCTGTCACGTTCGACCACGTCGACGTCACCAGGCTGCTGAAGGACATCACGTCCCTAAAAGCAAACCTTGCTGAAGTTCAGTGTAAATTGGAGGCCTCAGACAACACCATCAGTGAGTTGCGTGCCCAAATTGTATTACTTAGTAGTGCGGCTTCGGTAAGTAGGTCACCTGAGGCCTGCAACGTGAACACTTGTCGCGGGGCGCAAAATGCTTCTTTCAGCAGTTTTGAGTCGGCTCACATGCATGTGTCACCGACCTCTGGCGCTGTTGCCGCGCGCGTTTCCCCGCACCCCGCCCCGCCGGAGACGACCCCTCCACGTGATTACGCAGCTGTTGCCGCTGCCCGACCTAGTACTCCACAACCACAACCCAGGCAACCAATGAAGGGAAAACCGAAAAAGAAACTCGTATCTGGAGCTGCATCGTCAGTACCACCGAGACGAGTTGATCAGTGCGACGAGGACGGCTTTCGGAAGGTGGAAAAGAAAAAGAAGAACACCAGCCGAAACCTTAGTGGCACCGCCCTGACTGGCCCGAATCATTTATTGCGTCCAGCGGTACCGACGACGTTGTTATACGTGTCGCGTCTTCATTACTCCACCAAGTCTGCGGATATTGTGTAGTACATGCGAGTGAAGGCCAACGCAAACCTAAGGGTCGAGCGGTCGGAGTCGCGCCACAATGTGAATTTTGATTAATGTGTGGTGCGAGTACCAACTCAACACCTGTCGACTTTCATGAGAGAAGACTTTTGGCCGAAGGGTGTCATATACCGGCGTTTCCGAGGACGGCTACCGGACACCCACGTTGCGTCACACGTCGAAGTACATTTAAGGTAATTTATTTCATATTTCTGTTATTGTTTTATTATATTATTGTTATATTATATGTATGTTAGTCTGTAAGGTATGTATCTATGGGTCCTAGTTGCCTGAAATAAATAAATAAATAAAATAAATTAAATAAAATAGTCGTAAAATTGCCTGCTTATCGGTATTCTACAGATATATAACGGAGAGTGTATAACGGAATTGCATAATTTTATTTCGCCTTCCCTTTGCCATCGTCGAAGGACTAGACGTAGGTTGGGTTTTCACCCCCATGTTGTGAATATTCCAGTAATTTGTACGAAACATTTCGTTTCTACAACTATTTGGTGGACGGCTAAGACGTGTAAATCCCTGCCTGCTGAATCATTCCCTGACCGCCATAACTGAGGCCTTTTTAAGCCGAGAGTGAATTGGCATTATTCAGGTGTGCATGCCCCATCGTCGACCTCATCATCACTTTCCATCTGGTGAGGTAGAGGTCAAATGTGTAACTGGTTTTTATAAAAAAAAAAACAAGAGGAACAGTCCCGGGTTGTTCTACAACAGCTTTAGAGTCCAAGCATAGAAATTCGAAAATTTTTTAGGAAAAGTTCGGTAGTCTGTCACAGGAATCCTGTACAGGACTAAACAATGCGAGCAGAGGATAAAGGACGTATTGCCTTCCGCTGCATAGAAATCTGCGGAACGCATGTGTTTTCTATACTAACGAATACCTTCCACTGAAATGAAATTTTTGGATTTAAAATCGCGTATATTTGTTTTTCAAACAAACCTACGATTTGGGGATCTTTGCAGATCCAATGGTAGCTGTACTGCACGGCGTTAGCCGCTGACAAGACTATCAATTTGTTCCGTCATCAAGCTTTAAGTATTCTCTATCCGCTCACGCGATACATGCAGCCGTAGACGCATACCACACCTA